AAGTATATGTATTTTTTTAAAATTTCAGCTTGCCTTATGTTTTCATTGCCATTGATTACAGTGCTTCATGATATTAAACAAGGCTATGATCAGATTAATTTGTACACTACCACTTAAAAGTCTGATTATAAGTATCACATACAGTATATCAAACCTGAAGTGCATTTTAATTCCCAATTAACCTCCCTGGAGGTATTCCCGAGTGTAGCTCGGGGTAAAGTTTCAGCACCACAAGCGGTAACCCCGAGCTACACTCAGGAATACACTGCAGCGCTGCTCTGGGATCTCTTCTTCACTTACCTTGTCCTTCGTTCTTGTGATGTCCCTCCTGCAGTGTCCCCAGCAATGTCCTCCGGCCGATTCCGGCATCCGTCTTTCGGGTTCTGCTTCCTGCGACGTCGGGACGTACAGGGACGGAACTGGCGGGAAATTTAAAAATGTGAAAAAGTGACATTCACTACATACACTAAAATCACATAGTAAAACATTACTGTATCAAGGCATTTCACAAACCTTTTGTCCCGAGTGCTTTGTCCTGTGCCCTGCCTGCATATTTACCGTTCTTTCTGCCTGGAAACTGAGAAATGTCCATGGCGTCCAAAAAGCGTCCCTGTAGGTCAAAAGCGGTTTTAGACCGGCTAGAGAACAGCGATAGTAAATTAGAACCACTTGCAGAATTGAGTGATGATTCATGGGGAAATTCGTTATCGGACACTGAAAACTATTTTGCCACTTTGCTCAGTGATGTGCGAACTTGGCGCTATATTTCAAATTTCAGTGTTTTTGGTATGATTATATTATTGAATTAAATTTATTATTTTATGATTATTAAATTATAATTCATGATTTCGTTTTTCAAATTTTAACATACCCGGGATATTTACTAGACTCTTGTTCAGACAGATTTCAGTGAGTTATTCCTAAAAATTACAGGCCTACAGTAAAAAAAAAATACATATTTCCATGCAAAAAAAAGTACCGCTTTGAGCACAGAAATACTGACATAATCAGACTGCTAGGGAGGCTACGTGTACATTGTCATATTGGCAGACTGAAAAATAGAAAACGCCTTGAGACCAGAAGGCTTATTCTGTAAGTGAAAGAGCAGAATGCACTGAATCGCTTTAGCCAATCAGAATTAGAGACCCATTCTAGGATAATGTAACAGATAAGATAACAATATTTTTTCCTTGCGGCCTCCTGATTGTATCAATGGTCCCCCTTTTTCTCCTCACACTTTCAATCACCTCAAACTTAGATGCAGTCTGTACTGTGATGTCATCAGTACCTACTGTATTTTTCTAATTTTACCGGTCTTTGTAGGTAGCGCTACACTTAATTTTTCACTCCTCAGTCCAAAGAAACCTACACCTTGTGCAGTGGGATTTTAGTTTCCTGGTTGAGAAGTTTCAGGTGAAATATTTTGTCCTGTTACTGCCCGGTATACTTGTATGTTGCTGTTCACTGCCAGTCTTGCACTGGCTGAGCCGCACTTCAACTATATACCAGCTTGTAATCTACCACTCGAGACGTACTGGTGTGGAAGATGGAATGGGGGTAGGCGAAGCTGCTGTACAGTTGGCAGAGTTTAGAATGACCTGCAGGAAGTTCTTATTAAATTAGATTACTACTGCACACTGTTCTTGGACACTGTTGTGATGACGTCAGCCACAGAGCTGCTCAAGCTACACGGGTGGTGAGGGAACCAGGTACCCTGATAAAGAAGCTTCTAGTATCATGTCCCCTAGACAGGAGGTTCGAGTCTGTGAACAGTGACTTTAATTATGGACTTGACAAGCAGGGTGCATCTGTCAGGTAAGCAGATCAGAGATTAGTACACTTGTGCTAAAGACATGTTTGCCTGGAGTGGGGCTTTAGTCCTTCATTGACATGTTAGTGGTTCCACAATTTTTGGGTATTGCTTTATGCCGTTGGTACATCATTACTCTTTTCAGCACATATGAGGGAAATCATGCTTGAAGAAAATTTAAACCCGAACTCAGGTAAAAATATCAAAGAAAAAAGCCAATTAAAAGAGAAAAAAAAAAAAAACTAACCAGCTTTTGTTTCAATATTCATTCAATCCAAAGATTTCTCATGCTCTAGGTTTTTTTTTTCCTGTCAATATATGTCCTAAGTCTGGCCAGCATCATTTAATCTACTCCTCCTGAGCCCATGTCTTGAACCCACCCCAGCCTATGACTGGACAGTGAAAGGTGACATATAGCAATGATAAGGTCTGCCACACGTGTGTGTTTTTGGATGTCATTCCTAAAAAGCCACAGCAACCCATGGCATTCTATACAGCACATTGCTCTCAATATTTCCTTTTTTTTTTCATTCTTATGCTGCTAACTCAGTTGCTCACTGTTTGAGATATTTCTCTATGCTAACTGGAAGACTCCTGAGGGGTTTGGGGACCCTGCTTAGGTGTGTGGGTACTGTACTCCTTTGAAATATTCTACAGATGGGCAGTTGGAATCCCTTCCTAAATCGGTTTGCTCTGGCGGGTTCTACCCTCTCTGTCCTATACAGGTTGTGATTTTGTACAAGTAGGGGGCTGAATGTGAACCCTGAGAGTCCCTTGGGTAGTTTATCAGGTGCAAATGTGTTCCTTTAAGCTCACTGGCTTAATCCTTTACCTCTGGGGCATCTTCAGCTGCTCCTCATGTCCCCTGTGCTTCTGCACAGATTAATGCTCCTTCCACAGTCTCCTTGAGTTCCTTGCAATCTTGGACTTCTTGCTCCAGCCAATGCGTTAACTCAGACTCTGGAGCTATATCCCACACAGGTCACCTCTTTTCCTAAGAAAAATCTCCCTGTTCTTGGGACATGAGAGCCTTTTGTAGTACCCCTCAGTCCCCTGCTCTTGAGGAAACTCCTGACCTAGTAGGTTGACTGGGATCTCACACCTCTGTGCCTGGATAAGGACTTGTTGCCTATACACACCTGCTTCTTTCTGCTTTGGCTCCTGTGTAAACCTAGTGTTTTTTCCTGCTATCCCCATTGAAATAATCAGATGACCTGTGAAAAGAGTTAGCTTTGATGATCCGTGTAGTCTCATCTTGCCTAACACCTGCAAGGTCCTGCTGGTTCTAGCTTGGTAACCTGTGGGGTGAGCCTGTTTTAGTTCCTTTTGTCATTCACCCCTCTCCTGTCACTGGAGTCCTGTGTGGCAGGGAATCCTCACAATTCCCTGTTTCAGCCCCCTTCTTAGTTATTACAGGTCTGGTTTCTGTTCAGTCCGACAGGTCTGTATCCATAGATCAGGCAGTCCTTCAGCCTCTCCACATCAGTAGGATGCATTCTTCTCCCTGTATCGGGGGGCTTTGCTTATGAGACCACCACCATTCCTGGGGCTACTGTTTTAGCTCTTCAGAACAGGTTATTTTTTCTGCGTTATATGATCCTGCCTTGGCCAGGTTCCTGTACACTATCTGGGTGCTGCCACACCTTTACCACAAAGGAGTGGGAATTCTTTTTGTGGCAGGGAGATAGTCTGCTACTTGTGAAGGATGATGCAGAGTGTTTAACCTTGCTTGCACTATTTCCCTTAGGGACAATGTCTTGGGAACATGTTCTTAACCAGTACCCTTTTGACGGAGAGGTTCATGCACCTGATACACCTCAGACTCCATTTGCCAGGCAGAGATTGTTGCTGGAGGTCACTTTTATCTCTCTGAACTGTCAGTAGGTGGAACATACAAAATATTCTGCTGCAGGAATCTTTTGCATGGGAACGAGTACAGCTTGATGACTTTATGGGTCCCACTTCTTGGGGATAGGTCCTCCTTCCTTGGCTGATCTGCAGCCTCTTGAAAGTTCTTTGGGTGCCTGCCCTTGTTCTATCCTTAATCAGAACGCTCTTAGAGATACTGTACTGCTATTCCTGTTCCTTGTTCCACAGCAACTGACTCTTTCCTGGATCTGGCAGATCAAGAGATTGCATAGACTATAGCTTGAGGTCAGGGTGGTTCTTCAGCAGGATCATTGTGGGGTGTCCCCTTCGTGTGCTAAGGGAGAATATATTTGCTTTAGAGATTCACCGTTGCCTTTTTTTTTGTATTGGCGAGGTACCAATACTTTCGGTCAAGTACTCGTCGATACCAATTACTGATACTTTGCTGTGTGATTTGCGTTAATGCAAAATGTATGAACGCAAATTGCACTGCACAGAATAGCATGCGATTCCTGTCCAAATTGCATGTGGTTTCCCCATTGCTCCTGTGTGAACCCAGGCTGTCGTAGCCTGAGTTCACACAGGAGCAGCGCAGGGAGGATTCCCACAATGGAGAGAGAGAGTGGGGATGTATACTATGGCAGCAGATGCTCCATATTCTCAGTAGTAGGAGAGGAGAGAAAACATCAGGAATTTGACATCCTCACCACTTTCCTCCCTCTCCTTGCAGGGAAGACAGTTTGGGCTAGAAAACTTTTGATTGCTCAGCACTGTCCATGTGATGGTGCTGAACAATCAAAAGCCCTCTAGCCCAAACTGTCATCCCTGCACGGAGAGACAAGAAGGCATCAGGGATTTTAAGTCCCTGACCCTTTCTCTCCTCTCCTACCGCTGAGAGTAATGGAGCATCTGCCTCCATAGTATGCATCTCCACTCTCCGCTCAGCATGGGATGCCTACAGGGAAGTTTCCCGCACCGCTTCCTGTGTGAAGTCAGGCTATAGGTTTACACAGGTGCAGTGGGGAAACCGCATGCGATTTGGACAGGAATCGCATGTCTGTTCAAATCGCTTGCTGATCTTTGCGGTTCAGTTTGCATCCATACATTTTTTTTTATTGACACAGATCGCACCGCAAAGTATTGGTACTCGGTAGTTTTCACTGGAAAGAGTGTAGTTTTCCTTTAAGTTGTATTGTTAGTCCTTGATGTGTATTTAGTTGTACGTTTATTGCTATTGATTGCATTGTGCTATTCCTTTCTTCAGTTTTGAATATTGGTTATTGTAAATGAATGCTTATTGCTTGTATCTTTTTCTTACCAGCTATACGGATTAAAGAGGAAGAGCCAGATCCAGAGGAATGGCAGCTTACTGGTGATTCTACAGTTAACACCAATGATTTAACCCATCTGAGAGTACAAGTTGTTGATGATGAGCTTGACCAATCAAATCAAGAGGGGAAAAGGCTAAGAAGAGTAGCATGCACTTGTCCTAACTGCAAAGATGGAGCTGGAAGGTACTTGTCATATTTAGATGGTACTTGTCAAATTTAGGCTTTGTTTTCACTAATGAGGTTGAATTCTGACCTTTTTCATACTAGACGAACACTTTGTGTATTAGAAGCAATCGTGTATGATGTTTACTTTTTTTTTTAACCTTGATCTTCCTCCCTTTTAAATTGGTGTGAAAGGAAATGTCAGCAAGTACTTTTGTGGTTTATGCAAAGAATGGAATGCAGTAGATAGCTATTAGAAGTTTAATACTTTTACAGCTTCTTTATTAAGTATTAGTGTGTTGTAAGCTATTGAAACCATGGGTTTTTACATTTCTTTCAGCTGGCCCCTGGCTTTCTAATAAGTGAGCCCACCCAATCACTTCTACAGGGGTAAAGAGGTGGTGCACTCCAAATCTTTTACAACCCTGTGTTTCTTGGGTTCACCTCAGGGTGGATTTGATTTTAAATCACTAGTGGAAAGGCTGGATTTAAATCATAATTTTTAAAGAGCAACTGTCATTTCTGTCCCGCAGCGACTCCTCCTCTGACCCTCTATTGACTCACCGACAGTCCCATTCACATTAATGGGACGGCTGGTGATGCGGCAGTGACACAACAAGGTGAGGGACGTGGCGGCAGCAGGTGAGTGGATGCCAGCTAACAGGCGTTGCCATGATGGATCTCAAATGACAGGTGCTCTTTTACATGTAAGGAATCCGACTTATTCTTGCTGGTAGTTAGAATCTTTAATATTTGCAAACCAAATTAAGGTTTCCTTTTTAGAATAATAGGCTTGTCAGGTTAGTAAAACCGTGATATCAGAACTGATTTTAGGTTAATAGGCTAATCACACATAGTTGAACTACTCAAATTCTTTTATTTCATGTTTTGTTTTGTTTTTTCATGGTTACTATAAAATTGTGTGAATGCATCAATGCAGTGCATGTTATCTCAGCTTACAGAGCTTGGATTCATTGAGTTTACCAAAAATGTAAATATTGCAGAATATACAGCCTCATGCTACATAACTAAGCTCCATTGCATGCTGAATAAACTAAATTATTCATGTATCTTAAATAGAAAACTATCTTTAGATAGATTTTTACTCCAAAAGCATTTTTATCCACCCTGGTTCACCTTAAACAGCTGTGAGCCCAGGATGTGCAAAATTCCTGAAAGTGTGTAGATTGAGCAACTTGGTTTTCTGCTTTCCTCTGTAATGCCCAAAGCCCTCAAATTCCCTGCCTGCTGTGACCAGGTAAACAGCAGATAGGATATTTCCTGCTTAAATCCTCTTGGACTGAGGACAGGGGAGACATTTGGGGTCCAATAGACCCCTGATGTCTCCTAAAAGAAAATCTGTCACTCTCGGTCAGCCCCTTTTTGCCATAGCAATAGAATTAAGTAAATTTTAATCTAAAATCCTTTTAAAGGACCCACACACAAGCACCATTGAATGTATAACACATATTAGGTATCCCCACACAAGGCAAAGTGAGGGGCAGAATTCTGAATTGAGCTGAAAAGGATACAAAGTGCTGCCTGTTGATAATGTTAGGGCAGGGGTGTCCAAACTTATTTCAAAGAGGGCCAGATTGGATGAAGTGAACATGGTGGAGGGCCGAACATTTTTCCGAACATTCTTTGAACCATTACAATTAAATGCAAATAAATTATTTTATGCCAAGTTAATTGCAAACGACATACTTTTCATTTCATAACATTAAGATCAACTGACAGCTGAGTTTTCACAATGTATTGAAAATAAATTTAAAAAAAAACTTACCTGCACTAATGTGAAGGGTGAAAAAGGTAGCTGGAGCTGAAGTCTCTGCTTGGCAGCCGGGAGGAGAAGAGAAACACACTTCACGCTGGAAGCCCGGCCCTGACGTCATCGCCCTCTGTCGCTCCCAGCGCGGCGCAGTCACGCATGCGCACTGCTCTCAAGCAGAAGACTGTCTGCCACAGAAGGGAGGGCCGTGCGACAGCCGCATTTACACAGACCAGGGAGAACGCGCCGCAGTCAGGCATGCGCACTGCCCTCTGCTCTCAAGCAGAAGACTGTCTGCCATAGAAGGGAGGGCCATGGGAGGGCCACATTACACAGAGCAGGGAGGGCTGTTGGAGGGCCGTATTAAACCGACCCCCGGGCCGTAAATGGCCCGCGGGCCGGACTTTGGACATGCCTGTGTTAGGGTATTGGTTTCCAGGAGGGACACTATTTGAAGCTCAACATATTTGGTATTTGAGACAGTTTCACTTTGCTATCTATCTATGTAAGTTGTGAACACCCAAAACAATCACAGCGTACCAACCCCTTGGACTGAAACCACCTCCAGTGGTCTAATGCAAAGAATAGCCAGAGTGTGTGCACACACGCTGGTCAGAAATTGGTACCCTGCTGAGTTGGACGTAGGTTCATAATGTGAAACAATATAAATCTGTATGATACGCTATGAAACAAATTGACAAAGCTTATGTATGCACATGGCAGCACACAGTGCTGTTCACACTGAAGCGTTGCGTCGCGGCATAACTGACGCCTCATGTCGAGTCAGGAGGAGTTAAAGCCTCCCATTCAAGTCTATGGTGCTGCTCCGCAAACGCCTGGCAAGCGGTTGCGGAGCGTTAATACCATTTAACTTCATTATAGGCGCTTGTGGTGCGGTTTTAAACGCTTGGCAAACGCCTATCAACCGCCTCAAAAAAACCGTGCGTAGGGTGGTTTTTTTTTTTGTTTTGTTTTGTTTTGTTTTTTTGAGGAGCATTAATAACGCTTCCCAAATGCCCGTCTAACGTCTGTCAAACGCTAAAGGGGCATTTGGCAAGAGTTGGAAATAAAGTCAAGTGTGATCGAGCCCTAACTCTGGAAGTGTTGCTTCATTTCAGCATAGGTGTGCTATGTGGCTGTAGGAGACCAAAAGAGGGGAGGGGGAGAGAAGCGCAACAACCATAGTGTACCATGGAAAGTGTAAAAAAAAAAAAAAACACTCAAATTTAAAAAGACGTCAGGTAGCCTTTGCAACAGAGATCAGACAGGCAACCAGGATGCCTCGCCTTACCTTGGGAAGGGAATGGAGATGGAATGGACACAGGGAAACACTGTTCTTCTACGTTGAATGCTGGAGCTGGAACAGGAATGTGTTTCAAAGCAACCTTGCTGCTTCATCAGCCTTGCTAAAAAAATGGGCTACCCACCAGCATTTCTATGATCAGGAAGAGGTAAGTCCCAGGTAGCTGACATACACCCTTTCAAACACTGATTACCACACCTGTCAGCGGGGAAAGCAGCAAAGTACCCAGAGCTGACAGAAGTTAAAAGAAATAACAGAAGCTAAAAACAAAGATTGTAAAAATAAACAATTTGTGTAATATATAAAAAATGTTTGACCACCAGTAGGCTGTCCGTTGGGGGGGGGGGGGGGGGGGGGGGGGGGGGGGGCACAGAAGTCATCCGGGACTGCCAAAAGCAAACAAAAATGTACATATCACTGAGTGGAATCACAAATCAAGGACTAGACTGGGTTTGAAGTTTGAACACTAGTCTGTGTGAACCGAAGCCCGCAGCCAAGTGCATGTAGTCAGCGGCTCGGGACTACCCCTAGAAGTGACCTGTGAGAGATCCAGAACTGCCACAGATATTTAAACAATACATCTTCTATTGAAGCAGGGCCATATTCTAGTTTGAATAAGCTCAGACTAGCCTGCAGTTATATTTGGCAGTGCAGAAAGGGTTCATGCGCCGTGCCGCCGTAGATTTCAGGTGTAGAAACGTGCAACCAGGACACTACACTACATTACACTACACAGATGTCCATAGCGGGTTCGTACCTGCAATGCCCCATTTCTAACACAGGGTATAGATGAATCAATAATAAAGATAATAGTGGGGTGGAGTAGGTAAATGCATACCTGACTGTCATGCTGAACTCCTTTTTTTTTTTTTTTTTTTTTTTTTTTTTTTTTAATTTTGTGTGCGCTTTTTTTTTACACAACATATGCTACACTATGGTGGTTGCGCTTCTCTCCCCCTCCCCTCCCTTTTTTGTCTCATTTTGCTATATCTAACAGAATCTGTAGATTATACTTTGTGTGTACTAGATGGTTAACGTAAATATCGAGATAAATTTACAGCATCACTCTGTCATAAGTTCTGCTCAAAGGGCCCACCTTCCACCCTACTCTCAAAAAAAATGTATTCAATCACCTCAAATCAGACTATCCCACTCTAGGTGCTGTAGCCAGCACCGGGCTGCAAATGGTGTTTTCTTTTCCTGGGAACCAGGCCATGAAGTATTATGTTTGCATGGCTTTCTATATCTTGTAGTATTGGACTATATCTTGCTGATGGGACTACATTTTACCCAGAGGAATACTGGAACCACATATCCATACTAAAGCACGGCCGAACGGTGACATTCACATTTCTCCAAGCTGCAGCCAATGCTGGCATGTCACTTTTACTGTCTGTCTGATGTCTGTGATGTGGCATTAGGAATTGATGTGGAGTGGACCAGATTGGGTATGCGCAAGTTTAGTTGTTAAAATATTGCCTACATACAGTTTCTTGCAGACTACAGCAGGACTCCAGAAAACTGCAGTATTCTGATCTATGGATAGACCAGCTTTTGTGGTTGGTGCATTTGGCCTATCACTGTGATGGGTAACCTCACCAACCAGTAGTGAACTGCAGAAGTACAGAATAGAACAGCAACAACATTAGCTGATTGCCAATTGCTTATCTGGATTTCCTTGTGTTCTGGCATAATTTTAAATGCTCTTTATTAATTTTGTCTTTATGTTTACTTTTTAAAGGGCTAAGTTCATCTGTTGCGCAAAAAAAAAGCATAAATGCACTTTTTTTGTTTTTTTTTTTTTGCAAACAAAAAAAAAGTGCATTTATTTTTTTTTTTTCAAAGGAGCCTGCAGAGCATTACACCTGCATTCAGTGCAATGTCAGGCTCCTGCAGACTCTCAGGATAGCTGTCTGTACCTCCTGTGAGCACACAGTTACTTGAGAGCAGGAAGAATCAATGAACTACCAGAGTATTCACGAGCGCCCCTATAATTCATTGAGAACAACAAGCCATCAGCTGCAATGGAAGATAGACCTTGTAGGCTATTCATTTACAGGAAACTGGGGGGTGGGGGGTAGTTAAGATCAGGGGTGCAGATGCTGTAATATGTTACATGTTCAACCCTAAAAACAGGTGGTGGAACATGTTTCAAAGGTGAACTTTGATCCTTTAGTGCATAATCTATTTAAATTACCTAGGGTATAAAAATTAAGACCTAAAAGAAAATCTTGATTTTTTTGGTTTAAGTGAAAGGTTGTGTTTCACCTCAGTCGTACAGAATGTGAATTGCACATTAAATCGGTGGTTATTTAAATGGTTCATAGTTTAACAGTCCTTATTAAATAAATCTATTTTAGGGGTACAAACCTTGGGAAGAAAAAACAACACATCTGTCACATCCCAGGATGCGCTAAAGTGTATGGCAAGACCTCACACCTAAGAGCTCACCTTCGTTGGCATTCGGGAGAGCGCCCTTTTGTCTGTACCTGGATGTTTTGTGGTAAAAGGTTTACCCGAAGTGATGAGCTGCAGCGACACAGAAGAACACATACTGGTAAAGATCCAGTTCACTTTTATATCTATCCGATCTATCTTTGTGTGTGTGTGTGTATAATCAAACGTGAGTACACCCCTTTTGAAAAGTAAAATTTTAATCAATATCTCAATGAACACAAGAACAATTTTCAAAATATTGACAAAACTGAGTTGTATAGAACACTTGTTTAGCTCATTACATGAAAGTAAGGTTAATTATATAAACTTAGATGACAAAAATCTTCGGTTTTACTCAAATTCGTTGATGCAGAAATGATATCACCCCACAACAAAAACCACTCCATCTAGTATTTTGTATGACCTCCATGATTTGTAAGGACAGCACCAAGTCTTCTAGGCATGGAATGAACAAGTTGGCGACATATTGCAAAACCTATCTTTTTCAATTCTTCAAGAACAACCTCTTTAGAACCTGGATGCTGGATGGAGAGTGATGCTCCTAAGACTTTTCATTGGGGTGTATTCATTTTTTCAACATGGTCTTGAAAGAATTTGTTAGGAACAAAATTTTTTTTGTGTGTGCAAATTAACAAATCTTGTTTGCAATCAATGGCCCGCACTTGTGGGAGTATTTTGTAGTATAGTGCCCCCTAGAAAATGTAGATTCTGAAAGGAAAGTAAAGGTTCTCTGACCAGTCTTTTTGGATGTACTCATTTATGCTGAGGTGTGTGTGTGTGTGTGTGTGTGTGTGTGTGTGTATTTTATATATGTCTATTTGTTATGATCAAATTTGTAATCTCAGAATGCACTTTAGTCTTTGTACTGTACAGTGTGCAAATTTAAATGATAGACATTTGGTAACCTTTAGAGAGAGATACAGGATTGTGATAAGTGGTCAATTCTTATATTCATCTTTTTTAATTTCTCTCGTTCATTAATGGATACAGTAATTTAGAGAATGTTGGATTATATATAGTTGCAGTTACCAGTGCTGTTTCCAGCTTAGACTCTTGAAATCCTTAAGACCGCCAAGATCTTTGCAGTGCACCTGTCTCCCATTGCCCCTTGTGGAGATTAGAAGATTCATCCCTCCCAAGCAGCTCAGTTCTATACCTGTGACTGTTCAAAAGTGGTCTGCCTGGTTGGTTCCTATTTCCAGTGTTAAGCATTACTATGCCTGTAGAGGATATGCCTTTTTTCAGGGACCCCCAATAAAAGCAATTAAAGGCCCTTTTATAAAACCAAGTCTGGCAATCAGTTTGTCCTCAAACCTAGAATTTCAAGACCTAGGGGGAAGACTTCTTCGACATAAAGGGGTGTTCCCAGTTTCCAAAGTGGTGGAATATCTGCTAGCCTTTACGAACATTTGGTCAGCTAGCATATCAAATGTTGGGTGAGGGAGGTTGTTTACAGCCCCTGCGATGTTAATGCTTTCCAAATCCACCTGTGTCACTGCACATATTGGCAGATCCCCAATGCAGCACTTTTAAGGGTCATTGCCCCAGTACCTGCAGTGGAATGGTTTCAGGGATTCTACTTCAACCTGTTAACCGTCCCCAAATGAGGCATTGGCCCCATCTTGGCTCCCAAGTCCCTAAATGTTAACCGGGGCCCAGGAATTCCACATAGAGCCCACCAGGCCTCTCTCCAGTACGGACAATTTTCTGGTCCCTGTGGACATTAAGGATATACTTGCATGTGGGTTCCCAGCACTCCAGTTTGTGGCCCTGCCATTCTCCCTTCATTCTGCTCCTTGAATGTTCACCAAGGTACTGGACGCTGTGCTCGCCTTGCTACACCGTCCCCTCCATTTAAGTTGCTGGCTGAACATGTCTGTATGTTGTGGCACACCACTCAGCTGTACTGTTTTTTTTTGGTGTCCCTGAATTCTTGTGTCCCTAAATGGAGAAAAAATTAATTTTGTGTCTCTGAATTACACCAGTTTATGAGTTATTCAGTGACATAGATTCAACCGCTCTTTGTCTATGATCGTGCTTTTGGTACAACTTTTCCACCATACACAGGCCTGCTGGGAGTAGGACAGGTCATACCAGGCCAGTTACTGTTGTTTTGGTTTACCAGTGTCCATACCCTCTTGTATGCAGCAATATAACCCAAATTGTGTCCCTTATTGAATTTCAAGAAATATATTTTTACAATCTTATTCAGATGCAACTGTGTTTCTCATACCAAATCTGACATGTAAAAAGGGCGCTTTCCATTCTCCTTGCATGATAAAATGAAAAAGGGTCACGTAACTCCTCTTCGTTGCTCCACTCTGTTTAGTCCCCAGGAGTTAAGTGAAATACCCAGTGCCTCTGGGTATTAAAGGTCTTGTGACTTGCTTACCTTTTTCAGTGCAACAATGTGAGGCTTACACAATTCTATTTCCCTAGTTGCAGTGTAGAAGCAAGGAAAAGGTGAGAATATGTTGCTTAGGTAATCCGTGTATGAAAACCTTAATCATGAAATTACATAAGTGCATTTCTCTGCTAATAGCAACTTTTAAAATGTTACCATGATCCCACCAGTCCCCTCTACTTTCTACCAAAACCAAACATGGAAGCAAATCCAATGCAGGCGAGGTCAGTTTGCATCCCTCAACTTTCTGATGCTAGCTATAGGATATCATGCTGACTGTGTGGCTGTTGTCCCGTAGTCAGCCTGATGACATGCTTCCACCCAACCCAGATACAGCTAAGAGAAACCAATAAAACCACTTCATAGATAATTGGATATTCTTGTAACTGTTCAAGTAAGATCATTCACTAAACCAGTTGTCTCCAAACTGCAGCCCGAGGGCCAGATGTGGCCCTTTGATTGCCTTTGTCCGTCCCTTGAGGCACGATTCCTCCTACTGGAACCAATTAAGAGGCATCATTGTTTTCACTGACACCAACAGTGGGGTACTATTTCTCTTACTGATACCAATGATGGGGCATCATTCCTCCCACTGACACCAATAATGGTGCTCTGTTCAGGCCACGAATACCAACGATGGGACATTATACCTTCTGTTACTAACCACATTTTGTTAATCCCACTGACCACAAAGTCTGAGATATTGTGGACTCTCATTGATGCTGGGGCATTTCTACTCCCATTGGGCACAGTCCAGCCCTCCTAAAGTCTTAAAAGGCAGGAAAGTGGCCCTTTTATTTAGGAAGTTTGAAAACCCCTGTGCTAGACTGTTGGGTTTGTCATAGTTAAGTGTGAAAACTGTGATGCCCTTGGCAACAATTTCTCCTGCTGGTTAGTTGGTTGGGGAAACACTATTCTCTGTAACTGCAGAAGTTGTACTTATAGAGTGTTTGTTTTTTATGTGCAGTTAAATGTTTGGTCGGGTGTTTTTGTTTTTTTTTGGTTAAATACAGCTCTAGCTTAAAAAGAAATTGATATGTCAAATAAAATATAATGTTTTCAATTCAACAGGTGAAAAGAAGTTTGTGTGTCCAGAGTGTTCCAAACGATTTATGCGAAGTGACCACCTTGCCAAACACATTAAAACCCATCAGAATAAGAAAGGCATGCATGCCAGTAGTGCTGTACTGGCATCCATAGAAGCAAAGCCTGATGAAACATTGATAACTGCCGAAGGTACAACCCTTATCCTTGCAAACATTCAGCAGGGAGCTGTATCCGGCATTGGGACTGTAAATACCAGCAACCAAGATCTTCTCTCCAATTCTGAGATTCCCTTACAACTTGTCACAGTTTCTGGAAATGAGACAATTGAGTAAATATCATGCGACACCTATTAATTGTTGTTATTTTTATACAGTAGTGGAAGAAAAAGCAAATCCTTGTTCTTGAGTTCTTAGATATCTTTTTATTGATGTGCAAACTTTTTTGGATTGACAGTAACTTGGTTATACATGACACTGAAATGCCTTACTTTGTATGCTATTCCATACGTATGATCAAATGGTAAAATTGCATGGCTTTTGTAGGTACTTTTGGAAATCTAGAACTGATGAAATTTTACCATGATACATACAAGTATAAATAACATTGACAGATGGAAATGGTAGTCTAACCAAATGCATCAGTCCTGTGTGGTTTAGTGTAAAAAAAAAAATTTAAATGTCAAAAACAAGTAAAAAAAAAATAATAAAAAAAAGAACATGTTGGTATTTATCTATTGTAAGATAACAAAGTTGATGGGTCACGAAAAAATTATGTTATGAGATGACATTTTGTAATTTTCTTGATGACTGGAATTTTTATTATGCATAACTGACAAATCACGTCAAACAGCTCTCATAACCCGGCTACCTTTTTACCATTCCTCTGCTTACAAGATAACAACCAATTTGTTTTAATTAGGTGATCCTATGTACACATTTTAAGCATTTCTCTTGTAAAGAACTATAAGAAAAATAAATTCTACAAGTTTTAATCTGACAATAGCCACTGTCGAGACTGTGTTTAATAAAAAGCCATGCACATAAAATGTATTTGCCAAATTCTTCTTAATGTTTGAGTCATGAAGGCAATATAACCAATGTTGAAAAACTTGTAGGTTGAAACATTTTTTTCAATGGTTACATGCAATGAATAAAGCACCCACTCTCTTGAACACTGGTGGACCAAAAATAATAGTGAATAGTTTGTCATTAAGCACATCTTTCGATCTCAAATACTCAGACATCAAAAACCATTATTGTAAATTAAGTAGGCTAGCATATGCAAACATGATTTCAATCGGTCATTTCCATAGTGAAACAAGGCATACAAATCCTAGTCATGGGGAAACAGGAAAATTATACAAGGGTGTTTTTTTTTCCCTTTTTTTTTTTTTTTTTTTTCTTTTTTTTTTTTTTTTTTCCTTTCCCTCCCCCCACCCCCTTCTTTTCTTTTTCTTTTTAACTTAGTTGTTGAATCAGCATTTAAACAGCCTATCTGCTTCTACCCATTAAAATTGTATGTATCGAATACATGTACCTGATAAATATGTATATGTTTTTTTTTATTATTATGTTGCTGTATTTTGTTTTATTTTTTAACAATTGTTTATATTTCAACTATAGAACGTGTACAAATACAAAGTGAAATTGCAGGTATGTAAGGTCTATACCATTTTTCTAAGGCGTAGTGAAATAAATGAATAGAGACTGCAGCACCTACAACAGTTCACCTATTTACAGGCTTTTGTTTGAGTCTCTTTCTTATTGTTATGACACCTCAAATTGAAAAGCTACCTTTAAAGTGTATGTTTAAAGTGTATTATAACAGTGTGGTAGTTTAATAAAACACTATTTTCTTTCTTTCGACTTTGTTGTTTTCATATTCGTTACTTGGCGAGTCAGTATGTCGGTCATAAATTCATTCAGCGGCCGTACATAAATTTTTTTTTTTTTTTTACTCTTTTTGAAAGCAGAATTTTTTTCTTGTTTGCATATTTCACAAAAGTTAAATGCCTTTAAATCACTGAATGTATGCATTATATTTATGGACAAAGTGATTCAGATTTATGATATTTTATATCGGCACCTTTCCTCCTTTAGCACAGGGGAATAGTGGTGGTGTTCAGAGTTTTATTTTCATTATGTAAGTTATAGCTAAACAGAACACCTAACACAATGCCAGCGGAATGTTGTTTGTTAAGTTGTGTTTGTTTACATTCAAAAAGTATAGGAAGATGTATTGACTGATGCGACAACTGGTGAAGTATGTCATTAGGGTTCCACACTTTTTGGCTGCATTGTTTTGATTCCAGCCTATGAAATTTAATCCATTCAAGTGTTATTTGTCCCACTGCATGAATGTTGGCTTGTACAGGGCTTTGTAAGAGGCTCAAAGTAGGTTATTGTACCGTGTCAAATTTTTTGTTTCTCATTACGGCTTAGCTGAAAAGTTTGTTTTATTGTGGGTATGTACATATGGTCTACCAAGTTGAATCTTGTCCAGAGGAAAGTCAGATGTCCCATTACCAATTTTTTATCATTGCATATATATTTTCCTTTTTTCTATTTTTTTTTAAAGTTTGTATTATTGGAAGAATGAGACAGTGGCCTGTAAATTTTATGTTGTAGTTGTGTTTTGCTTCTAAAGATATATATGTATAAATATATTCCCCTACCACTCGACCGTCACCAGTTATCAGCACACTTTGCAATCAGATATCCTCACCAAATTAAACTGTATCACAACTGTATATGATGTGAACACTGCGTCTTGTACACAGAACCTGGCATTTTTTCCTTCAGTTTTTCCTTTTATTCCATGTGTTATTTTTTGGCTTAAAATTATACTCCATGATTTTGCTACCATGATATAGGTTAAAATTTGTCTTTGTTTAAACATACTGCATTTTTATACCTGCTCCTATGTGTTTTGTTATGGTATATTTCTGTAATATGCATGTAGGTGGAATTTTGCTGCATAGGTAGATTTTAAGAAAAAATAAAGTTAAAATATCTTTAAATGTTTTACTTTCAGTATTTGAGTTTTATATATTTTTTTTATTGTGGGCTTTGATTAGTTGCTTTAGCTGTGATGTCATTTTTTTGTTTTTTTTTTTAGCTTCTGTATATCAGAACTAAAATTGAGCTTACATACAGTAGTTGAATTAAATAAAGGCTTATCACATATTTAAGCAACTCAGATAACTAATAAAAAGGGCCCTGCAAAATGCTAGTAACACCTACCTGTCCTGCTGCCCATGTCTCTGGTATTCACATTCTTTAAGACCTACAGCTATTGAAGAATCACTTTCAGAAATGTCCAATGCCTGTTCCCCTGCAGTTCCACCTGCACGCTGCTGTCACTAGTGCGTCCTTTAGAAGCCTGCGGGTGGAACATGGTGCATGGAGGGGGAACAGGCATCCAGCACACAAGAAGTGTGCCAGATTCTGAAGATCACATGCATGTTTGGCAAAACAGGTGAGGAGGGATCTCTTGTTTTCTTTTTATTGTGGCTACAGAGTTTCTTTAGCAATATTACATTTTACTTCCATGCTTTACTGCTTAATGTAGATCCAAACCCGAAATGGACAACATTCAGTTTGTTTAAAGCACTACACATAAACAATTATTTTTTTGGTTTTTTTTTGTTTTTATCAATTTCATGGGTGTTGATAAATTCCAAAAATTGGGCTTTGGGATACAGTGATGAAACCCAGTTTTAAAGGGGTGCCGAGATGAACAGGACCAAGTTCCCCAATCCAAGCTTTCACCAGCACACAATGTTCAAACAAAAGACACTTTTTTGAGATTTTTCAGAGCCTCCTAAGGGATCTGTTCCTAAGGCATAGTGCCGATCCTAAGATCTTTCAGCCACTTCTGTCTATACATTGCACTTGTTTTAGCACTGGCTACATATCATTGCTCAGGAACAGCTTCACAGGGTAAGAGTGGACCATGCCTATACAATGTGTTGACAGGGTCCTCATGTGACAGGGTGACAATTTGTGAAGACAATTGTGAGACAGATGCCACCCCATGACAGTAAATGTCTACCTGTACCACTTTAAAATGTTACCTACAGGTAAGCTTTACAGTAGCTTACCTGTAGGTACTGTGAATATCTCCTCAACGTGTGCCGTTTAGGAGATATTTACATCAGCTCTAGCCGATGACATTGCTGCACGTGTGCAGATCACTCTGCATTCAGGGGACACAGAGTGTGCTCTGTCTATAGAAAGTGCTCTGCTGTGATCATGACTGCCGTGCGCATTTGCGGGAATTATGTCATCCCAGCCTGGCCATACAGACGTCTGGAATGTGAAAATCTGGAAGTTTGCAGCTGTGACAGCTCAGTGCTGGAAGGCCCTATTTAAAAGGTAGGTCTGCCATAATGTGCTAGTATCGGGTGCATACTAACACATTTTTGCATAACATTGCAGGGGCCCATTAAACTACCACTCTAATGGTAGGATCACTATATATTTTTTAATCAAGACTGCAGATTTAAAGACTAAAACCACCTTTGGTATTACAGCAACAATTTCACTTTTAAAAAATTGTAAGCTGTGGTTCTGGGTAGCAGCAAACATGTAATTAATTGCCAAGTCATTAATCAAAATTGTGATAGGTTTTTTTAAATCTGAGGACACTACTGTATTTTCAACAAGTCATTCAAATTACTTGCAGAGCTTTTTAAGATTCATTGATTATCAATACAGAATATCTTTAAAGTACAGCTAAGTATAAGATGGAAAGATTATATTTTGGCAGACTATTACAAATGATCACAACTATGTATGTAAAAGTATCCAAATGTACAGTATGAATACACCAGTGTCTGGACTGCATTTACATATGTTACACATTGGTTTAGAAGAGAAGTATGGGTTTCTGTTTTTTACCCCAGTTATACTTAACTAGGTGGATGCATCTGGCCCTCTGTCAATGTATGAGAACTCAGCGATCACATGACTGCTGATAGCGGAGTTCTCACAGCCGCTTTGAGCAGAGAGCGGTGACTTGTCAGTCACTGCTGTCTGCTCAATCCCCAGCGCTCACTGAAGCGCTGGGCTGTGGAGGAGGACTGGCTGGCTCAGGCTTTCAGCTGAGAGGCTGAGCCAGGTGCCGCTCCAGATTCTGGGGTGGATCCCGGGATCTTTCCCTGGCTTGGACTGGCTGAGTGACGTCAGCCCGCTGTCAGCTGAAAATGGGTCACAGGGGTATAGAACAAACTACACTCTTGTAATCCACAGGAGAAGTACAGTCAAAAGAGCTTTGGCTATACTTCTCCTTTTTAAGGATTATCTGTGTAAAGCAAGGGTGCAGACTATACAACCACATCTACATAAGCTGCCATTGCTGATCTCTCCTGTGCTGGTTGCCTTAGATCATGAGATCACTTAAATGGTTGCATACTTGTCCCAGGTCATTATTTTTTTCTACCATTGAAGTCAGGAAACAGACAAGTAACTAGCATTTTTAGGAAGTTGGCATAGGCACCTTACATAAAATGTTAGTACTGGTATTCTTGTGCTAAGCACACCTAAACTTTGCGCCTTCTATTCAGATTGTGAGGATGTCTATGCACTCAGAATAATTATCTGTAGACTGACCAAGGGCAAATATGGCAAAATGTCAGTACTTGGTATTCTAAATTTGCAAAGGCATCTATTGCTTAGAGGTCATGCCAGGGTCAAAGGTGGCATCAAAAGGTAAATTGTTTAAATTACTAAGGTCTTTTGCTGCGTGTAGATGCTGCTCTCCACTATAACAATTCAAGGTTTACATTTCTTCTGTTCTGTAATCTGACATTACCTGTTGACCCAGGAACATTTAAGGATTAGTGAGTTTATAAAAGTAGTATAAACTTGGTGCTGACCAGGTCTGTGCATTATCACTTGAACAGGTAAGTGTGGAAATGCCTGTGTAAGTTTCAATGTGTTCACCCAGTTGTAAATTGCACAAAAGGAGTAGTGGGGGAGTAAAAGGTGACTACTATACTATTAAGGGTGCCTAAAGTAAATTTGAACTTATGTTACCTATCAGCCCTGGTTCACATCACTGCAACTTCAGGTGCGACATGAGATTTACAAATCATACCTCAAGTTGCATCCAATGCATTTCTATAGGCACTGTCTTAATCTGTGCAATTTTGAAGTAGCACGATTTAAAAAATAGTTCCTGCACTACTTTTTTCCGAATTCATTGCAACTTGCATTGACCTCTGTTAATGAAGTTGCAAGCCACAGCGAAATCGGAGGTACAAATCGCACTGATCTGCAGCTCTGAAATTGCGCTACTTCAAGTGAAGTAGCAAGATTTCAAAGTTGCATTAAGTGTGAACCAGGGCTTATAGGAACTACACCTGTAATGAGGGATGGTTCACACCTAAATTGTACTGGAATGTGGTCCTGTGTAACTTACTGTGGTTTTCCAGCCAATTCATTTGCATGCACTGTTTTTCAAAAATGTACTGCCTTACCATGTAATCTGATTGAGACAAATGCACTGTTTGTGATCTGTGGTGGGGGTGTCATTAGGAATATATTGACATGTGATGCAGATTGCACACCTAGTGATTGCAGTGCAGGAAATGCATATAGAACACAGGTTTCCCACACTGCATTCTTTTGTAAATGAGCCCTGAAAGAAATACAGGGGTTGCTATTGCTCTTCTTAATGAAAATGCCCTTTGGCAGAATATGCTTATCTACGAGCTTAATGGCCAATTCACACTTGTTTTCATGCACCAAAACTCATGCTGCTGCATGAAAATGCATTTTAAGTAGAATCCCATTTCACCCCCCCATGTCGCTGGTTCACATTTATGTGCTGCAGATTAGTGTGAAAGAGAAACCATATGGGCCCATTCACAACTTGCGTATTACTTTGCCTTCTGCAATGCACACAAAACCGTGTAATTCGAGTCTATGCTGCTAGTGACAAGTTTTTTGTTTTCAAACCCTTGCTCAAAATTACTTCAATTTTGTTCTTCCTTAACATTGGGTCTATTTACACAAAAAATTTTTTTTTCAAACTAAGACTATCCAATGTGTGGCTCTGTCATCTCTATGTATATGCAAGTGAGTCAAGATTAAGTAGTTGGTCTTGGGGTAATGAGTTCCCCACACTTTTCTGTGGCCATAACTTGAATCCTTACAGCCCAAATTCTAAACAACACAATGTATCGGCCCCAGATCTAATATATCTGCTTTTATATTTTATTATCTCATTAATCTTCGTAAACCATTGCCCAACTGTGGGAGCCCTGTTTCTCCATGAACATGGGATGAGGGCTTAGGGACTTTATGTATAGTTTTAGATAGAGGTGTTTTCATGAAATAGCATTGTAAAGGGAGTATTGGGGACTGTGGTCCTAAAGGATTTTATTACTGAGCAGTCCCACCAAAGATGGAGAAATGTCCTCTGCAGACCACATCCCCTTTAACAGCTAGAATGCACAACTGCTAAATGAACTAGTACTCTGTACCACATAGAATATAGTATACAAGTCTCCTGTACCTTAGAACTTATGGTGCTCAATGCCCACTAGAAAAAACAGCAATGACAGGACTACCAAACATTTCCCCCTTAACAAAAGAGTCAGTAGATGGTAGTTACGTACTCTCAAGGTTTCTGTCAGGATCAACAAGTATTTTTTTTTTACTTTCATCTAACAGAGATAAAACAGTTTCAATAGAATATTTAACAATTTACAGTACTATAGTACAATGACGGGCGCAAGGTGGTTCTCTCGTTCTGATAGGACGTCATATAACGTCCTACCATTCTCACTGCGCATGCTCGGCGATCGCCGGTGTGCTGTGTCCCTTGGACACAGCGGATCACGGAAAGAGCCGAAGATGTCGGCTCGGTCATGTGATCAGCTGTGTCCAATCACAGCTGATCACATGTAAACACGGAAATGCCGGTTATCGGCATTTCTCTTCTCTCGAGAGGAGAGCTGGTAATCTGCTTTCCGTGGAGGGGACATGTACACTGATGATCAGTGTGGCCCCAGAAGTGCCACCTGTCAGTGCGCATTAGTGCCAGTGCCCATCAGTGCATACCAGTGCCCATCAATGCCACATATCATTGCCCATCTGAGCTGCCTTTCAATGTCACCCGTCAGTGCCATATATCAATGTCATGCATCAGTGCTGCCTTTCAGTGCCCATCAGTGCAACCTACCAGTGCCTCCTCATCAGTGCCCATCACTGCAGCCTCATTAGCGCACATCAGTGAAGGAGAAAAATCACTTATTTACAAAATTGTATAACAAAAAATGTTTTTTTTTTTCAAAATTTTCAGTGGTTTTTGGTTTGTTAAAGAAAAAATAAAAATCCCAGAGGTGATTAAATACCACCAAAAGAAAGCTCTATCTGTCTAAAAAAAATGATAAAAATTTCATATGGGTACAGTGTTGCATGACCGTGCAATTGTTATTCAAAGTGTGACAGCGCTGAAAGCTGGAAATTGGCCTGGGCAGGAAGGGGTATAAGTGCCCTGTAGGCTAGTGGTTAAAGGCCCCGCAAAAACTATACACATATAAAGAGATGCCAAGCTTTTGTGTTTAAAAGAAATCTGTTGAAAACACAGTCTTCCATTCCTTAACCTGTTTGACTGTTGAGCTCAACTCTCTGGTTTTAAAAGGTAATTGTACAGTTGTCATTGCAATGTTATGCCCCTTTTGCCACTTACCTGTCCATCATCCACAAAGATCTTTGTAGCGTGGCTTCTGCGTGCAATTAATGGTGTTCCCAGACATTAATGGAAAATCTACTGTGCATGTAGATCCATTCAGAAGTGTTTCTGTAAAGAGATTGTGAGTGGCCCTACAGTGATGATTTGTATGGTTTGTGGACAGGGCAAGTTGTAGGCATGACAGGCCTTTGTGGAGGACTATATTTTTAGGATGATTACAAGTAGTTATTCATTAAAATTAAAGGGTAAAACTTAACAGCCAATGGGATTGGCAATAGAAGCAGTGGTCCACTGGGTATTGCAGGAAATCTGTATGGAGAATATGTAGACTGCTGTTCTTGAGCGCCTTCTGTAAAAGCAAGTTGTTTCAGTAGCTGCAGAACTTTGAATCTTTATACTAAATATATGGTCAGTGACTCAGATAGTTGTAGTTATGGGGCTGGCATGCTAGCGAGGGCACTAACAATCTCAGAAGAAAAAGCAAACAATTGCAGCCCATTCACTTGGTGCAGATTTTTTAATTTTGATACCCTGACAGTGCCAATATCTAACTGCAGTTGTGACCTTGGAAGAGAGAACCTTTAAAACTACTTAAGTTCAAGTCTTTAGGCATAATAGTTATTTAATTGTTTATTACAGGACACAGAATGAAAGTGGTTCTAAAGGGAATACATTTGTTCTTTTAACCCATTCCCTGTATTGAGGTAAAAAAAAAATGTCCCTGTATGTCCTCCCAATATAATTACCTAAGGCCTATCTCTATCCAACGCTTTGTATGTCTGCAGTGCCGCTGTTCTCTCTTCCTCTCCTCACTGGAAACAGAGGCAGCAACGGGAGCCATAGCTGCTGTCAATCAAATCCTGCGAGGAGGGGAGCTGAGCTGCACTATATTTGTATGAACACGTGTGCCCCCATACCGCATAGCTTGCTATGGGAGCACACAAAAGAACATGAGCCGTGAGTGCTGGTGGGGACCCCCAATGCCACTGCATAGAACAGATAAGTATTCCATGTTTATTATTTTAGGAAAAACATTTAACCCTTATAACCTCCTTGAAGTATTCTGAAAGATTATAAAAAAAAAAAAAAAGATACTGCCATCTTAAGAAGAACTGGACCCTTACAAAGCTGCAAGGAAAGTGTAACCACTCCCAGCATACTAGTGCCCTTAGGAGAATGAAGCAAATGCTATTCACAGTTTATCAACACTTTGTTTTTCTCTTCTATCAAGATTCTTCACATGTTGCAAAAGCTTCATGGCTTTGCCTTGGGGTACCATACCTGGACCCTGGCAGGAAGGTGTAGGTGCAACATTACTAGATGGTCCCGCATCTTCTATTGCAAGCATTTTTGTGATTTTTGCATTTGGCATTCACCTAGGCGTATAGGGCAATGTTTTGAAAGAATCATGCCCCTGGATAGCAAAGTCTATGGATGGGTCCTGTCCCTTAATTTCTGCCATGCCCCCTACCCAGAAATGCAAATCACGTATATATGTGATTTTGCGGTGCCTTGCGGCCCTGTAGCAGTACTAATACTATAGGGCGGCGGGAAAGTGGTTAGCTCCCACAGGTATTTGGGAGCTCCTATTTTGGAAATCCCTCACTAACACATAGTGGTATGACCAAGTGCAAGGGCACCAGCTTTGCTGGCCTTGCCAGCTTTTCGATCCAATGACAGTTCAGAATTAAAGCAGGAAGCTGCCACTCCTAGTAGGGATGTGTACATGTGAAAGCCCTATTCAATGCTGTTCCCCAGGCCACTCCCTCTTATGAGTTTTGCCACGCCCACCAGGGGGCCTAATTATAGATTAATCTGTGTAAAATCTACATTATGTAAACCCATATTTTATTCACAGTAGAAAATATAAAACAAATCAAAGGTTTACACTGAAAAAATTTACCATTTTAAAGGATAAGTTCACCTTTAGAACATGTTACATGTTCCACCCGTTTTTAGGGTGGATCCTGTAACAGGTTCCCATAGCTGTAGCCGTGCCCGCCCGCCGCCCCCCTCCCTCTGACAGATCGTACAGGGAGAAGTCTCCCTGTACTATCTGTCAAGATTTGAAAACCGTGTGACTGCGGGGCTCCGCCCACACGGCTGCATCACCCATTCACAGAGTTCTGTGAATGAGTGCCTATAAGTCTCGGCAGCCTCAGCGGCTGTCGGCTTGTAGTTTTCAATGACCTACCACGGCAGAATATCTGCTTGACTGTACAGCAAGCAGACATTCTGACAGATCTGCAGGAGACCTGCATGGCATCAGCAAACTACTGATCGCTGGTGCAATGCTTTACAGGCTCCTTCAGACAAAAGTAATAAATGCACATTTTTTTTTTCCTGCAAAAAATGTGCATTTATAATTTTTGTCCAAAAGGTGAACTTATCCTTTAATGAAAAAATAAGGTAATTTTGAAATTAATCGCAGCAACATGTCCCAAAAAAGTTGGAAGAGGACAACAAAAAGCTGGCAAAATAAATGGTAACAAGGAAGTGCTAGAACATTTTGCAACTAATTAGGTTAATTGGCAACAGGTCTGTAATATGATTTTTTTTTTATAATATATTATTATAAAAAAAAAGCATCGTAGCCAGTCTGTGTCAGCAGAAGTAAGGCTGCTTTCACACTGAGCACCCTCCCCCATGTTGAAGGCATGTGGCCTGGTATGGTTCAGGAGGGGGATGGTCGCTTGCCCCCCCCCCCCCCCCCCTTTCCCGACCTGCTGGGCTGCATGCTCGGATAAGGGTCTGTATGGATTTGGGGGTGAGGTGAACCCCACACAATTTTTTTTTGGCTTGGGGGTTTCTCTCAAAATCTATACCAGACCCGAAAGGCTTGGTATGGATGGAGGGGGAAGGGGGACCCTATGCCATTTTGTAAAATTATTTTATATTCGCCGGCAATTCTTTCTTTTACACTCAGCTGTCAGTGGGGAACCCTGCTGACAGCTGGAACATTAACGCATGTTTTTCACTACTAAAATACCGCATGACTTGATAATATAACTCATGCTGTGTTTTAGTAGCATTTTTTTTTTGTGAATTCAAAACCTTTTTTTTTTTAATGCTATGCGGTATCCTACCACATACTCGGATGCAGTAAGATACCACTTAGTGAAGTGTGCCCAATATCCTCTATTTCATCATTTATTGCTAGGTTTTGGGAATAAAAACTTGCCAAAAACATGAAAATCTGCCCAATTCGAACTACAAAAGTAAGTTACATGTCCAGGATGTTCCGCTTGAAAAACACCTCAAAAACGCTCCAAAAACATAAGCATTTTTGAGGAGAATCAAGATGGGCAGAGGTTCAACAATCTATGAAAAGCTGAGTCTAATGGGCAGAGGTTCAACAATCTGCGAAAATCAGAGTCTAAAAATTGCAAACAATTTCAGAATAATGTTACTCAAAGTAAAATGATAGACGTTAAATATATCATCTACAATGTATATCATCACTATCATCAAAAGATTCAGAGAATCTGGAGAAATCTCTGTGCACAAGGGACAAGGCCAAAACACAATATTCGATGCCCTTGCTCTTCAAGCCCTCAGATGGTGTACTGCAGTAAAACGGACATGATTCTGTTCACTGTCTGTGAATACAGTTGGCCATGCCATCAAAAAAATACAAAATAAAGCTCTAACATGCAAAGAAGAGACCATATCTAAACATGATCCAGAAATGCAGCCACCTTCTCTATGTTAAAGCTCATTTAAAATAGTCTCTTGCAAAGTGAAAAACTGTTCTGTGGTTAGACGAATCAAAACTTTAAATTCTTCTTTTTTTAACGATGGGAACTGTGACTAAGGAGAAGGACCTTCTGGTTTGTTATCAGCACTCAGTTCAAAAGCTTGCATATCTAATTGGGGGTGCATTAGTGTGTATGTAATGGCTAGTTTGCTTGTCTAGAAAGGCCTCATTGCTGAAAGATGTATTGAGGTTTTAGATCGGCATACACTCACTGGCCATTTTGTTAGGTAAACCTTGCTAGTACCGGGTTTTGTCTTCAGAACTGCCTTAAAGGATAAGTTCACCGTTCAGAACATTACACCCATATTCAGGATGTAGCATGTTATGGATACACTGGCTCCCACTCCCCCTCTTTGACAGCTAGTGGAGGATCTTCTCTCCCCCGCCAGCTGTCAAAGTTTCTAAAAAATAGCTGCATGGGGCTCCGCTCACCCAGCCACATCACTCATTCACAGTGCTTGTGAATGAGAAACTACAAGTCCCGACAGCCTTAAAGGCGTTCTCCACAGCACCGTGGTAGTTCATTGATTCTTCCTGTCAGTATATCTGCTTGCTCGTACATCCTGTACGGGCAAGCAGATACAGTGCTCAAAAATGTAAAAAAGGGGGGTGCAGCGCTATATAACTTAGCAAATAGTAATAAATCAAACACAGATGATAAACAATGAAAACAGTGACTGTGTGTTAATAAAGCCACTGAATGGTGGCTATGAAGTGAGGGAAGTGAAACAGTCCAATGGAGGAGTGCTCTTAAGATCCAGGATGATCCTCAGACGTCCAATATTAGGAACCGTCAGGTGATAAAAAGTGTAAAGATTGCGCACTCACCAGATACGCAATCTTTATGCGCATTTGTGTATAATATCACTGGACCTCCTGTGTCATCATCAAGTCAG